TCCCCACATGTGTCCCCACCCCCTGTCCTTCCCATCTTTGATTGGCACCTTGCGTCCTGATGTCACCTGGTGGCAGAGTATATCTGGAGGGAAAGGGACACCTCGAGGCATTTTCTACACAGGCTGGAGGACGAGAATTGAATGATTTGCAAGGGGAGCACTTGGCACTGTGAGTATTGTGAGCAATAATGAGAGTAGAATGGGGAAATGAAGCAGGAATTGTCTGCAAAATTTAGAGGAGAGGAAGGTCTTGATAAAACTCCGTGGGGAAAAGTTTGCATTTCTGTGCTTGGAAAGTGTAGGTGGACACAATAATTAAGGAAGGGAGTTGTGGGTTTTTTTTTTTTTTTTTTTTTTTTTTTTATGGTCATTATCTATTTCATCTTATCACCAGGGCTCACTGCCTGGAGTAAAAGCAGGTGCTGCAGAGGTGGTTTGTCTCAAAGTTTAGCATTTTTTCAAGCAGCCAGCTCTGTCCTGTGTGGGGCTACTTGGCATCGTAAGATGCTGGGCTGCTCCTTTAGCCAGGACTCRCTGGTGGCCCTTGGGCTTGTGGGCTCAGCTGGCCAAGCCATCCCATGCACAGTGCCGTGCCAGGGGGATGGTTGAGGAGCACTGGCTATTGCACAGRGTTGTCTGGGTTTGTAGCTCGTGTTTCCTGTCCAAGTACCCAGCAGCACTAGCAGAGCATGTTGGTGGGGAGTTAATGCTGTGCAATGTTGCATCTCTGGTGCTATGGAATTATTCTTTAATGAAGACTTTAGGCAGTCTTTCCTATGATTTCCACCGTGGAAGCAATTGTGTGAATATAGTGAATATGTTGTGAATATATTGTGAATATATTGTGAATGYAGTTCTTTTTCAAGTTAGTTTATGGCTTTTCAAATGCATCCTCTTTTCTTTCTTCTTGATCTTAAAAYGGTTGCTAAAATAAAGTGTCCAAGAATGTGTGTAAAATGGGACTAGAAATGGTTGAACCTGAATGCATTTGTTCCATCCAGCTGTGAGTCCACACACACCTCACAGGCATCTTACACTGGATATTATATTGTTTGATGAGAGCCTGGTGGCAAGGATGAATCCAGCAGCTCTCATCAGGTCAGTACCTGATGGTTCAAGATTCCCATTAAAAGGACTATAAAAAAGAAAGCATTTCCTCCTGGATGCTGTCTATTCTCAGAATAGCACTGCATGGAGAATCACTGCTCATGTGGGTTCTGTACCTGATGATCAAAGACATCCCTTGAGACAACATGGAGACAACAATGCACATGGAAGAGTCTGTATTTGAAAGTCTTGGATGGGGGGAACATCAAATCCTGCACTGAATATCTCTGAAGAAGGTCTTGCAAAGCATCTCCATTTTCTATGGAAATGGAAATTTTTCATAGAGTACAAGAGATTAAGAGTATGGGAGGAAGGGAGAAGATTAAAGAGATGACATTTATCGATAGTACTCAAGCCTCTTTAAGTTCAAAGAAAAGTAAAAGAAGGACGATTAACCTGGCCAGCAACCCAGAGGTGGAATATCTGACGCAATTGAGTTAAGAACATTACTGCGCATTAGGTATAATTAGCATTTGGATGCAAGCAAGGCTCTTACTCAGTGGATTAAGCCTTGGACTGAGCAGAAATGCTGTCAGGGCCAATTAGCTAACACCTTGTCAGCAGAAGGGGCAGAGGAAGCGCTTGGAAGAGCATCTTGTAGCTCAGCAGCCTTTGTGTCCACAGCTAGCAGCGCTCCCCCAGGAGCTGCACCCCAGTGCCGGCGGCAGCAGGAGGGCTCTGGTGACAGCCTGCAGAGGCGCGAGGACGTGAGGCTGCACAGCGCTTGCGGAGCACGACAGGAGAAGACTCAGGCCCACTGAACGGGTATCAAGCCATCTGGTCCAGTATCAAGGACTATACACATCTACACAGGTACTGGGACATGGAAATAGCACTGGGAAACCTCCATGGGTGCCTCATTTGTGTCTGTGATCCTGGGGATCTGCCCACTCGCATCTGGCATGCGCAGGCCGATTCCTGAGCTGTGGTACTGGGAGAGCTTCTGGTGCTGCTGGGCAGCACCCTCTCCAGCACGTGTGTGTGGTGGAGGATGAGTCCCACCAACTCTCCAGAGCGTGATTCCTGCTCACTCCTGCTGTGAGCTCAAGGCTGTTTTGTGATATTAGGGTTGCTTTCCACCCTCTGCCTTTGTACAGTGAGGCGAGAATAGACGGGACAGTTGCTCCTTTCAGTGTCATTGAATGCCCTCTCTCTAATCCATCTGTATGGGAGAGAGGATGTAGTGCGGTCTGAGTGCTCTTTCTCCTACCAAGTCCCAGCTATCCAGTGGCTGGCAGGCGGATACAACTCCTTAGGATCAGGCTAGAGAGGAACTCCAAGGACCAAGTCTTTCTCAGACTCAACTATTTCCCAACTGAGTGATGGCCAGGGCAACATATGGACAACTAARAAGAGTTGCCTTTTCAAGGAAATTCTGTGGTTAAAGTACTCTGTTGGCAGAAAACAGGGGCTGGCAAAACAGAGGGTGAAATCACGTGAAGACTGAGCTTAGATGCCTCTTACAAATTGTGGATATCAGGCTAAAGTTTGGAAAAGTTGGCTCTTTTGTTTCTTCTGTTGTGCTCTTGGGTATAGCCTTTGAGAGAGGTCCCAAGGCTCTTCATAAGTCAGAGGAATTGGAAATGACTGTTCGACCTCGTATATCTTGTTGGGGGGGATGTAGCACTGCAACCAGGTACCTACTGACTCAAATTTCTCCTGAGACCAAGGCATACTACAGACACCATATGGAACACAGGTTTCCTGTGCACAACGTTTTATTTTAGAGATATACTTTTAAAATTCTTCCCTGGTCCCGAGGAACAGCAAGGAACCAAATTCACGCTTGATGTAGATTCATACAGCTCTGTGTGACTGCAAAACAGTGTCTCAAAAAAAAAAAAAAAAAAAAAAAAA